TGTAAAAGCAGGCTAAGGATACGCACTCTTTTTTTTTCTGCTGCTTTTAGGGTAGTTCAGACTATCGTATGAAGGTTTTTGCATCCTTTCTCTTCATAATGCATTTTCCCTTGCTGATGGCAAAGACAACTCCAGCTTATGGGGCTCGATAAAAAATTCAGCCCTGGTTCTTTAGAGTTCTGCAGAATCTGTCTGCGTCTTTTGTTGTGAGCAGCAATTATCTCTTTCCTTTTTCTAGTGCTGATGAGGTCAACTGAGCAGATATCGTAGCAGGAAAATCTAACTTAACTAATTATCTTTATTACGGAACTTTGCAAATGTTTCACTATTTCTGTTTTTTTAATGTATTTCATTGGGATTTTGAGTAATAGACCAACAAAACGTAGTGCCTAACTCCTAACTGAAAGGATTTTTTTTAAATAGTTTTTTTTATTTGCAGATATGAATCTTAAAAGTGTGTCTGCATATAGATGCTTTTAGGATCCATCAGTGCAGTACACCGACAGACTGCAGTTGTTACCCATTCTTTGCACATTTCAATCAGAATTGATCATTTGAAGTCTTGCAACAGTTTCGGTCTTATCTCATTAGAGCATCTTGTTCCACATGTTTGTTGTTTAGCCATCATGGCTTGTGCCAATATATACATGAGACTTTTTCTTACGTTTTTTTTTTTTTTTTTTTGTAATGGCCAATAATAATTGTTTCTGTGGAATGTAGCTCCAAATCCTGGAGTGCTATTTTTGTTTTCCTGACTGTAGATAAGGAAAATTGTAGATACTAGCTTCTGTGATAGCAGTAAAATAGTTTCCACTGTGTATATTTATGCATATTAAGGCATAGTTGGTGTTTGAACAATTAAAATATGCAGCTGTAAGCTTTTTTTTTTTTTTTTTTTTTAATGGTTGGATTTAGCTGTTCACAGCTAACCGCCACAGCTATGGTGGGCCAACTATATAGCACACATGTGGCCACAAAGGCAAGTTTGCAAAGCACATGCTGTCTGCTTTTTACAACATAAATAGGATTGCAACATCCACCACCAACATATCAAAGCTATCGGATATGTTTAGACAAGCAAAGCTCAAAATATTTCTAGAAAGGAGAATTTATGCTAGACTCGTGACCTGCAGCCATTCTTTTGTTTCTTTTGCCGTGTCACGACAATCCCTTCCGTTTCGGTCCACACAAACCCGAGGAGCTTTGTGCAAGTGTCATTTTTCTGGAAAGTCGTCATCAATCTCTATCGCATCAGTTTCACTCCGGCCGAAGAATGTAAACAAGTTGTTTCCGGCGTAGGGAAGAAATGCCATGTGATTCTGTTTGTACGCGGAAAGCTTTCTCTTTTTCATCTCACTAACTGCTCTCATCTGCATCGTCCATCTATCATGTTCTAAACGCGTAAGCCTGCGAGAGCCAGCGCTTGAACTGGCAGTTTCCCTCCATGTAATCACATCCAAAAAAAACTGAACAAAAGAGCAAGGAAGCCAAGAGGAGAGAGCTATTGTTTAGAAACGGGAGATGCTTGAATGAAGAGGAGAGCCGATAAGTAGGGGAGCTCTTGTCTCTGCCTGCCAGGAAGATTGGGCCCTAATTTGCTTATTTGTAGCTGTCACTTTTGCTTTAATGTGCCAAGCAATTTGGAGCAATTGACAGGCAGCAGCTAGAGGCGACAAAGACTTTTTCTGCTCCTATTTAACCCTGAGTCAGCTTTTTTTTTCTTTTATTTTTTTTCTGACACTTGTAGGACTTGGGCAGATGTCGCTCATATTTATAGATGCTTTTACTGCAGTCTTATCTGCCCTGCCTGTGTTCAGTAATTTGCTTCAGCTTTTATCTAATCTTTGAACATTTGTTTACTTTATGCTGCTTGCGAAATGAAGCAAACCGATGCCAGAAACGTTGAGTTCTTGAGACTGTCGTAAGCTCTGCGAGACGCGATAACAAGGCAGGAACGAACAGTTTGTCAGTCCTATAACGTTCTGCCCCTCGCTGAATTCTTTACTTCTTTACTCCCCTTGTGTATTTGATTATTTTATACATGCTGTTCTAGTTTCATCTCTTTTCTGCCTTTCTTTTGCTCATTATCGTAAACTTCAAGGTCTCTTTGCCATCTGGAAATCTATGAAACGTCCTTAAAATATTTGCCAGGGCGTACCGCTGTAGTTCAAAGAAAGTTTTTTTCTTCCATCCACCCATTTACTTATTTGTTCATTTTTCCTACAATGCATCTATTTTTGTACCATTATTGCAGCCATCCTATCCTTGTTTTTATGTCAGTTCTATATTTAAAACCTTCCTTTGTAAAAAATAATTTTATATATATATACATATATATATATATATATATGTAGCTCTGCCATTAATCCAGACTAAACTTTGTATTTATACTAAAAATATCCGGATAACTGAATGTTTCATTCAGAAAAAATGGGGAATTTGTAGATGAGAAAAAAATGTGTAGTTTTTCAAGGATTAGGACAGAGTCCTTTATATCCAGCTGTAATCCGACACCGTTTACGCATCTCTAACAAGACAAAAGCACACACACGCACGCGCACAAGAGCATGCAAGCATATTTTGCTTTGAGAAAGCTTTCTGAACTGGGAGGTTTTAATGTCACCCAGAAAAGTTCTCCAATCAATGAAATAAACAGAAAAGAAAAACATATAAAGGATGAATGGAAGAGAAAGAGACATAAGCAGCCGGCTTTACCTCCCAGCTCGTCTCTGTCATCCCCCCTTCAGGTGGAGCCTTGCTGTCAGTTAAGCCCTCCTACTCCCCAGCTCATCACACACACACACACACACACACACACACACACACACACACACACAATCTCCTGCTGAGCCGTACAATGGTGGATTGGCAACCCTAATACCACGGCTCGCTTTATCTGCCTGAATTAAAACCCAATTGGAGGAACAGCTGTGGGAATTGCTGGTTCAGGAAGAGCCTTTTTTTATTTATTTATTCAATGTTTTTCAGGAATTATGTGGGTGGGCACATTCTAGAAACAGTAGAAAAAGTAATCAGATACACAGAAGTTCATGATGTATCAGTGTGGAGATTGGAAGTGAACTAATTTCTGAATGTGCGGAGCAGTTGTTAGCCATTAGGAATGTTTTTTTTTTTTATCTTCCACTTATTGTGATTGTGTCTATGTATTCATACAACACACGGATCAGGCAGGAGACACAGGATAGATCCACTGTTTTTTTCTTTTTTGTTCTGGTGAGTGGAGCTGGAGAAGACACTAACTTATTACACATGTGAGTATGATAGAAATGCTACCCACATGTTTATGACACAGATGCAGCAGCTGCAGCTTTCTTGGCCAGTTACATTCGACGGTCATTATAAATCTCCTACTATCAGTTTTAGATTACTCAGATTTTTCTCGTGAGTAGCTGTTTCCCGTCTCCACATCTGCCTGCATATCGACAAAGCTTGTTAACGTAGTTCTGAACATGAGGAATTGTTGAAACCTTACGTCCTGCAACAACTTTGAAGTACATGTGTCACTTTTCCTGCGCTTTTTGTCCTGAACAGGGCTTTCGTGTTGTGTCAAGGGTGTGGAATTCACAGTGTTCTGCTGCATCTGGATGGAGTATATCACTTTTGGGTTAATGTACAAGATTTTACTGACCATTTGAAGAAGAAATTGCTCTCTATTATAAACTCAAAGTGGTCAGATGATTGTGAATCAAATTAATCAGAAAATAGGTCATGCTATCAGTTTCACTTTCAGTTTCAGTCTTCTAGAAGGTGAGTTGAACCTCATCAGTGCAGACAAACTAATTAAGCATGTTAGTTTTGGATCATTGGAGCCATATTGGAGGAAATGTGTTCTGTTTCAGTGGCACACATGTACATAATCTGGTAGCTTTGATCATTTAGTGTGTGCTAGTGTCAAATGCATATCAAAAGACTTATGTGTAATAATATAAGAATTAAACGTGGTGTCATTTAAATTAATTGAATAAAATGTTTCACATGTGAGCAGCTTTTTCAGATTATCTTTCTCACTGTCACTGGATGTCTCAAATAAAATTTAATTACTGTTGTTACACCTCAGAATGTAAACAAAACATCAATAAATTAAATACATTTATTTTTCTGCAAGATTAACATTATGAGTAAATTGCTTTAAGAAAGTTTATGGAGGATGGAAGTAAAGATTGTAGTTCAGGAAACCGCAGCACCGAAAGAGGCAGAAGACAAAAACGTTTCTACCAACATATTCAAACCTTGTTCCAAAACTCTCATTATCATCACCGTGTCTTTGCTCATGTTTCTGTCTGTCTTAGATCTCTGTGATGACAGCTCAGCAAAGCCCAAGTCAAAGAAAAGTCTAGTTTTTGAAGTCAGATGAGCTCTTGCGTACATGACCTTAGCTTCATTGCCGTCTGTGACTTAGAACCCCGCTGCAGGTCTCCTCCTGGGCTGTGCTGCAAGGTCATGTTTTTTTCCGTTCTCTCAAGTTTACTACCCCACTCATCGGCCGCATGCATTATACACTAGGTTTATTCTGCATGCTGACCTCCTGCATTCCTGAGGGAAGCACTTTTGAAGTTTGAGGGACAGAACCAGAGAGAGCAGCAGAGCGACTGTCTCGACATCGCTAATCCCCATTTGGCCCTCGTGTTAGCGTGAGCTCCTATTTTTCCTCTCTGAACTAATCCTGATGAAATAGTTTGAGGTGTTGTTGTTTTTTGGGGGTTTTTTTGCTAAATTGTCCGTTTTTTTCCTGGACAGTGCCCAGATTTGTCACCTGCTTTCACACTTTAGCAGATGTGCTAGACTTTTGGTGCTAACAGCTGTGGTCAAGAAAAGCTGTAATTATCTTCTGAGGGTGCTCTTGAAAACAGATCATTAAGGTTTCATGGGAAAATATACATTTATGGAGCTGCAGGGCTTTTGAAACCTCAAAACCAAAATGCTGTAGATTCTTTGATGTTCATTAATCATCTTTCTCTCTCTTTTTTTTTCCCAACCAGATTCTTCAGGACAGGTGACCTCCTCACCTTTAGGCTCTCCTACTTCCCATCGTGGAATGCATCCCTCTTTGCTGAGCCCCACCTCCATGGGACCCTCTGGCTCTCTCCATTCTCCCATCAGCACCCTGAGTTCACCGATGAACGGCCTCACCTCACCCTTCTCAGTCATTAGCTCACCCATGGGGCCGCACTCCATGAACTCACCTGGAATGGGCTACGGCCCCAGCATCAGCCCACAGGTGAGGCCTCAGGCAGACATAAACAATATGAACTTTTCCCATATTGTGCGACATTGTAACCACGAATTTCAGTGCGGCTTAATTGGGATTTTGTGATAAGATCTAAAAAGTGTGGTGTGTGTATGTTTTTAGCCAGTTTTAAGTTGATACATAAAAACAAAATCAAATTCTGCTAATATTCGGCATTGAATTCAACCACAGTTTGCCATCTTTTTGACATAGTTGTCTCCTGAAACAACATGAATTGTTGAACTAATTCAACAATTCATTGAGTTGGTTAGAAACATATCACAAATTCTTGTCTACTTTATGTTGGTCTGTCACATAAATGTTTGATTTTGTTTCGTTGAGATCAAACATCAGATACTTCAAGGATTACTATTACATTATATAATAGAAGTCCTGCAAATTGTTAAGATGTTTGTATGTAAATGTGATGTAGACTTCTTACTCGATCTATGAGGGGGTTTAAACTCGAAACTCTAAGAAAACCTAGTGGTGAATAAATGCTACTGCGTCCATCCACACCTACTTCATCTTTATTGGGTTTGTATTTGGCACAATTATGGCATTCTTTTTGAGAACAAACCAGACCAATAATGTTTAAAAAGGATTGTTTTAGTTCAGTGAGGGAGGAATTTGGGGGCATTGTGCTCATTGTTGGGATAGACCTCGACGACTACTGCAGTATATTTCTTTGGCTGTGTCATGAGTTTCCACTTTGCATACCTCTAACATATTTATGTATATTAAGCATCTCACTGCAGTGGATGCCTGCAACAGCGCTCTAGATGCTGATGAGAATGATGGAAGCTCCTTTGCCAGAATAGCAAGTGCAGGATTTATTAAGCCTTTTTAGCCCTAGAAAATTGTCATTCACAGTTAATGGAGAACATTACTCTCTAATTGTATTTTGCTTTATTACTATAAACACTAATTAATGTTGTTTGTAATTTGACTCATTTCAGTTTGTCTTCATGTAAACACCATTAGGAGCAAATCTTTCTTCATGTACAGCCACACAGCTACCCTTTCGTACAACAGATCTGTACTTTTTGGAAACTGAAATAATCAGATCTAATTTTGGCACAAGGTTTGAACCAGAGCAGCTCTGTTGGATGAGGCCCGTTTAGGAAATTGCAGCAGGATTACTTGTTTGGTTTTAGCCAGTCTGTTTATGAGACGTTTTTATTTAGTGTTTCTAGAGTCTGTGACGGTGACCGCACAAGTGACCCAAAACCACCTAATCAAAAGCAGCTCATTTAGTTATTTTCTTATGTAAACCTTGCTTTGCTTTCAAATGATTGGTTGTCTTTAAATCCGAGTGTGACATAAGTGTGACTGAGACATTTTGGGAGCGATGACTCTTCATGGTTCAGGTCCAGCCAAGCAATGACTAACATTTTTACAGAGCTTTCAACAGTTTTAGCTTTTAATAACTTTTAACTCGCATTAGAACACGTATTGACATGAAAAGATTTATGATATTTATTATGTTTCGTTTGCTGAACATTGGATGAAGCTGTTAAAACATGATTAAAAAAAGAGGAAGGGGGAAAAAGAAAATAGTGGAGGAATCGTGTGAAGTTGTTCCAGTTAGAAAACTTCTGGAAATTTCCTTTTTTGTGTGTGTTTTCACAAATATATCAAATATTTCAACCTGTGTTTCAATAAAACATGTACTCAGGCTGCAGGTTTAACTGCTTTAAATATTTAGTATTGTGATTTACAAGTGATCAAATATAACTTAGATTCCTGAAAAATACAGTGAAATATTGTTTTGTGCAGCTAAGTATTTTACTTTTAGTTGCTAAATTCTTCAAATACTGCAATCCTCTTTCAAAGCAGATTTAGATAAGCTCATTTCAAACACTAAAACACTTGTACAAATTGGCAAAAACGCATTTCAATTTCACCGCTTTTGTTCCAAATTATACATTTTCTGATAAATCGTGGTTTTTCAAAAAGGAAAAATTTTTAGAAAATACCCATATTTCTTCTGGGGTTAGCTTTCAAGCAACACATCAAATAAGCATGTTTTCTTAAAATACTTGCCTTTAGCTTGTTTCGAGTTTAATTACACCTTGCGAAACCAGAGAGATCAATGTTTAGCAGCCACCACTATGGTTTTCCTAAATCACAGGCCAACACAGCTGCCCTGTAAACCAGGCAGACAAACCGGTCATGTTTCATGTCTTACAAACTGCACTCAAACATCCCATAAGTGCAAATCAGAGGCCCTTAAGACTTGCACACTCAGACGCGTACACCATTATACAATTTTCCACAGAGGCCCCGATTTGACCCCGTGGCACAGCCAATCAAGGCCTATTCAAAAACACCAGCTTCAGCTCTGTGCTTTTATTACTAAAGCATCCATGTCACTTTCTCCCACTGGCTCTCTCTGTCTTTTTCTTTTTGTCTGGGCTTTTTTTTTTCTCCCGTTTGCCTTTTTCGTTCTTTCTTTCTTTTTTTTTTGTCACATCGTCTCAATTTTCCCATTTTTTCCTGCTCTGTCTCTTGTGTTCCATCAAAAAGGCTCCTTGGCATTAACAACACACACACACGCACACACACACACTCACACATGCACAATTAAGACATCAAAGCTTCCAGTGTCCCAGTTTCAGTCTGGACCCATATCTGAAATTAAAATTGTTTCTCCCCACAAAATGCATTCGCTAGACCTTTTTTGTGTTTATTGATAATTGAGTTAAAGAATCCCGACAATGTGCTGCTATTTAGGGATGGGCTCCCTCCCTCTCTCTCTCTCTGTTGTTAAGCTCATCTGCACCTTCATAAGGAACGCGTCCCACATGTAATAGAGTTAGGAGGGGATTAGGGCCACTTTATGAAAACGGATGATATTTTTCATAGCTAGAAAGCTCCCGTCCTTCTCCCCATCCTCCTCTTTCTGATTCTTCTTTTCTTTTTATTCCCAGAACTTTTGTTTGGGCTCCTCTTCGTGTACTGTAGTAGCACACTTTAGGCTTTCAGGTTAGGAGTGTTTTGGAAAGGGGTGAATTTGGGTTTATCTGTCTCATTTGAATCCCTGATGGAGGCGTGTGCGATGTTCCTTCAGTGATACACAAAGGCAAATTCAAAACATCCGATCCATGACTTTTGGGGATTGGATTAAGGCTTCCTAATGATTTTTGCCTGAGGCTTAAATGCAAAATGTATGTGCAATGGACCCGCGCTATGCATGGGGTTAGAGGTTGCTGCCACCCACGAATAGCTAAAATACACAAATACCTGAGACGCTCTCTAAAAAAACTCTAACTAATTATTTTAAAAGTCTAAACACCAAATATTCCTTAACATAAGCATGCACATTGGAAACTGTACTAGCATTAAAACAGAAGCTAATATCTAGAGTCTTCCTCATTTCCACTTTTTGAGGAACAGCCAATCATCACCAAGGAAGATGAATGGCGCTTTTGGATTGGCTAGTTTGCAAACTCCAGCCAGTAGCATGTCAAGCATCACTGCACTAAGGGATTTCAACCTCCCAAGCTAAGTTTTCTTTTGAACATTTAAGATATTTCCTACAAAACAAGATTTTTAAAAAAATAGCACCGTTAATGTTCAAAATATATTTTGTAAATCTCTTTATTTAAAATTAAAGGTTGCTATAACTAACTGTACTGTTTCTGTGAGATGGAATAAAGCAAACAAACAAGACTTGGTTTTCTTTTATTATTATTTTCAGCTTCTGTAACAGGAACTTTGAACATTTAGCTGCAACAAGCGAGATCATCCCTAGAACTGAGTGCCTGACTAGTCTAAGTAATCAAAGACGAAGGGCCTTGATCAGAGTGATGACCAAGAATCTGGTGTTCTCTGGGGAATCTAGAGGAACCAGCCACAAGGTCAACCAGTGCCAACACGCTTCATCAATCAATCCCTTATGGTAGATTGACCTGACAGACTGTGCTCTGCTGTGAGAAGCAGCATTAACCTCTTCAGGAATTTGAGAAGAACTTCTGTTCCTTTGACAGACCAAACCTTTTGATAGCTGCTGACCACTGCAGACATGGAGCACCCCACAGAACACAACTCGGTCCTCTGCAAATTCACTCAAATCTTCACACTTTTTCCTGATTTTCACTCATTCACTTTGACAAAAAGTGAATGATATACCCCACCCACAACCCGATGTCAATGTCAGGAGATAACCGGTGTTGTTTGCTTCGTCTGTCACTGGTCTTAATTTGAACATTTGGCAAACTTCCTTAATTAACTAAACATGACTAAATCCTGAAAATATCCTACAGCTACATCAGTTGTTCCTCCAAAAGTATCACAACAAGTGCTTGTTTTGAGCCCCTTGCAGTGATGCGTGACCCTTTTGAGCCCCTTGCAGTGATGCGTGACCCCCGTGCCTTACAGGTGCTCACCTGTTAGGCACTACTGGCAATACAAAGTAAAAAAAGGTATCGACTTAATTATGAAACTAATCAATTAATTGGATAAAATGACGCAACAGATTCAACTTAAATACAATAAATGTGACTCTGCAATTGCAGAGTCTGCAGCAGGGTGGAGAGCAGCAGTCGGACGGGCTCAGAGGTTAAAGTCGGCGGTGTTGCCCTGTAGCCGTGAGGCGCGGCACCTCTGATGAGACGTGATTTGAGTCAGACGGCGTATGCCGCTTGCCCTTAACACTTGGCTGACTAGCCTTTTTCAAGAGCACTTAACTGGAACGAGGTCGCTGCTCGGCTCAGCCTCTACTGTATTTAACCGTCCTGCCTTTGCTAACCACACACATTTTACAGGCATATACTTTAATTTTGATGATTTACCAGGCATATATCGCGCTGTGCAGTGTCCCTCCTTTACTTCTTGCTGCCCTCAAGAAGGTTCTTCTCAGCATGAAGCGCAATCAAGAGCTTTTTTGTTCAAGTACAAAAACATGTAACAGGGTTTAAAATCACAGTAAAACACTTAGTTTCTTACTGGAACCTGCTTCATTTTCCCCTAAATATGGTAATAATAAA